TATATTTAATTATTTAATTATTTAATTATTCAATTAGTAATTTTCAAATATTGAGAAAACTTTTTCATAAACATTTTATCTGGGTTCTTTTCTAAAAGGTTAATATATAAAAAACTATGCGGTTCATCAGTGGCAGTCTCATATATTTTATAAATTAGTTTCTTGCTTTCATGTAAATTATCGCTTCTAACAATTGCTGATAATTCATCTTGCAATATTTCTATCTCTTTAAAATTTCGAACTTTATAATAAAACAAATGACTTATATTTACCCTAATAATTGGTGGTACGGTTGACGATTTTTGAAGACTGACAAGTGTCGATATTCCACTATGACGACCTCTACAAAATAAAGAATTTAACAATTTGTTATTTCTTGTTATTGCTGGATTATCAGATACATCATCCAAAATTACCAAATTATTAAATAATTTCTTCGTTCCTTGTTTTTTCTGGTATTCAATTATTTTATTTTGAGTTTCTATAACTCTTTCTAAATCTTCAACATTGAACTCATCCCACCAACACGGTTCTTTATCATTATCTACTTTCAAACCTTCCTTAATGTATTTCTTCACTGGCAACCAAATACTATCCAAATTTACAGATGGAGACCAGATAAAAATTCTTTCAAATGCACCTCTATAAATATCAAGTATCATTGATACAAGTAAAGTTGATTTTCCACTTCCAGATGGACCGACGATCATAGCTCTCATAGGCAATTTAGGGACAACCTCATGCTTACTTTGCTTAAAGTCATATTTGATTTCATCAATTGGTTTTACATCAGGCATAATAAAAATAATATTATAAATACTTATAAAATAAAAAATATAATATAATTATATCATAATGCCAAGAGAATCTATTAATTTAAGTGAAGTAGATAGTATTCGAACTATATATAAATTTGGTGATATTTTAGTTCCAGATACTGGCCAAGTATATTATGATACGATTTTATTGTTTTTATCGATAATTAAAAACAAAATATTATAATATCTAAATCATCAATCGAAAACGAGGATACCCTAAATTATAATAAATTAGTAAATTTTATGAAAGATTATTCCTATATATATATACAAATGAAATGATAAATAGTGTACAAGAAATTATTAATAATAATATTCTAGATGTTAGTATATCAACTGCAGTAAAACTTACTAAAGAAAATAGTTTAAATACATATTCTATTTAATATTAAGGGAACATCGTTTTATGATATGATTGGTGGCGAATATCATAAAATGGAACAGGTTTTCCATTGCTACAATCAATAAGCATTGAAGCTAATTAGTTTGTATCTCTCTCGCGTGTGCAATGAAAACCCCAAGTGCTGTGCCCCACCAATATTCTATTATGCATGAAAATAATAAGATTAAATAACTATTTTATCTTATTATTTATATGACTATTATCCATTGCAGTTGTGGTAAAACTTATGATGACAAATATTTATTTAAACATCTAAATTCAAAACATCATCAGAAATTTGTAGAATATAGATGGAATAAAGACGATACAATGAAAAAACTTTACAAGAAGAGAAAGGCAGAAATGAAAAATAATTTATCTTATTATTTAATATGAAAAGGAGTTATACAGATTATATTAATATAATAGATGAAATGGAGAATATAGAACAAGTACTAATAACTGATAATAGATGTAAAAAAATATGTTATTTTATTTTAGAATTAATTAAGTTTTTGATACAATATATTAAAAATATAAATAATAATATAAATGGGAAAAAAGAAAAACAAAAAGAATAAGACAGGTTTAAGTGTTTCATCAACTGATGAAGAAATTGTTAAAGAAACATCAGTTATTGAGGTTGTTTGTCCTATGTGCAAAAAGATGTTAGAACTTAAAAATGAATTAGAAATAAAAAAATAATAAAAGTTGTAAATGTTCATGTATTCCAACAAGTTTCAAAATAAGTAAAAATGATAAGAAAATGAATATTGATAAAACTAAAGACAGTATCAACTTAGAAACTGATGTCCATAGTATAACTTTTAAATTTGGTAGGCAAGCAACACCAACCGATAATAATGAAAACGAAACACAGGAAACTGTTAAACAAATGATGAAAAATTAGTATTTAAAGAGTAGATTTAACATAATTGGACTTTATAAATATATATAATTAAATAAATAAATAAATATCTAATTATTTATATAATCATAATGCCAACTATGAATGGACAAGACCATAGAATTATAACTTTTGACAATGAAGAAATTAAAGACCTATTCAATGGTGATGAAAACTTTGCTAAACAATTGAGTGAAGAATATTTTTATTGGTTAGATGCTAAATTTAATAATAAATATTTTATGAAAGGTATAACTAAACCAGATAAATTTGATAAAATGTTGAAGTTTTTTGAAATTACAGGTAACGATGAAGGTTTAATAAAATTGAAAAATAAAATTGGTGAAAGACTCTTAGAATATAATTTATTTACATATATAACATTAAATTATTCAGGTAAATTATATAATAAAACGTATAATTAAATAAATAATTATCTAAATAAATATATAGTAATGTCTGAAAATGAGAATTACACTATTAATGATTTAATGAAGAAGATAACATTAATTGGTAAAAATATCAAAACCTTAAATGATATGATTAAATCCATTGATGACAAAATGAAACCAGTTGAACGCAATGAAGATAAAGAAAAAATCGAAAAGATATTTCAAGCAAAATCAATAGGAAGACCAACGGGTGATTATCCTACAAAGCAAAAGAAATACTGTGATATGTTGAATACAGGAAAAATCAAACAACCTAAAAGCACCACTTTAGAATTTTACAAAATTTCAAAAAAAGATGATGGAGTATATGTATTAATTGAATAATTAATATCTAAGTAATTCTAATAATATGAATTTATTAGAATTATTTAGCGGAACAAAAAGCGTCGGAACCATAGCAAAGTCGCTTGGATTTAATGTGATATCATTAGACTTGAAAAATGCTGATATCAACACTGATATTTTGGAGTGGGATTACAAACATTTTGACAGAAACCATTTTGATTTTATTTGGAGTAGTCCCCCATGCACTGAATACAGCATAGCAAAAACTAGGGGAATTAGGAATATCGAATATGCAAATAGTATTGTCTTAAAAACTATTGAGATTATCAAATATTTTAATCCTAAATATTTTGTAATCGAAAATCCACAAACTGGATTATTAAAAAATCAGGAGTTTATGGATGAGTTTGAATTTAAAGATGTTGATTACTGTAAGTATGGAATGCCTTACAGAAAACGCACTAGGCTATGGAATAACATTACAACTTGGAAACCTAGAGAATTATGTAAAAAGGATTGTGGTAACATCAGGAATAATAAACATATTGAAACTGCGCAGAGACTGCCAAATGGAAACAAGGAAAAATGGGGAGACAATCCAACAATACATAAACAGGAAGACCTATATAAAATACCTAGCGAATTAATTTGTGAAATCTTGGTGAGTTTGGTGGATTAAGTTTGGGGTTGGGCTTGAAACTTGAAAACCCAGCCAAAATGAATACATGCCAAATTGGTGTGTATGTCCATCGGTATTGGTGTGTGTGGTTACCGGTATTGGTGTGTGCGGCTAGCGGTATTGATGTGTGCGGCTAGCGGTATTGGTGTGTGCGGCTAGCGGTATTGGTGTGTGCGGCTAGCGGTATTGGTGTGTGTGTGTGGCTACCGGTTCTGGTGCAACTATTGAACTGATAGTGGTGAAATTATTGATTTTGGTGGTGAAATCACTGATTTTGGTGGTGAAATCACTGATTTTGGTGGTGAAATTACTGATTTTGGTGGTGAAATCACTGATTTTGGTGGATTAAGGATTTTGATTTCAGTAAAGTGGTCTACTGTTTTCAGTCAAGTGGTATACTGCTAAATGGAATAGAACAATCCTTAGGACAGCAGTATTATTATCTGTCTTGAGACATGAGTTTTTAAAACCATACTATGATTATAACATTTATACCCTTATATGTTATAATTATAATGTAAAATGACTTAAAGGAATAAAGACTTAATATAATAAGAGGAAAATGCCAATGCTAGGAGTGACAGAAAAAGAGCTGGAACAGGATAGAAAGATAATATTGAGTTTCATTAAGGATAATCCCTATCCATCGTATAAACAAGTCATTGAAATCATTAAAAACGATAAAACAATGAAAGATATATATCCAGATATGTTCGCTGAGTATGGAGAACAAAACCATCAATGGATAAAAGAGATTTACGAAAACATAATGAAAGAAGAACTCGTTAAACGTAATGGTAATAGTATTAATGAAAGAGGAGGAATGACAACAATGCATTGTAATTATTATACTTTGGTATCAGTGTTGCGTTATTTAATACAACAAAGATCACCAATGAAAGATTATGACGTTAACTTAATCTGGTATAATATCAGAAACATTTTGAGCAGTTCTTGGAACAACATAGGAGACTGGAAACACTAAAAACAGGTTTAATCATACTATGATTATCACATGTAAAATATTATATGTTATAATTGTAATATATTTATCGTTTGTAAAGATTGAATTATTGTATTTTCCTAATTTGCTTGTCTCTTTCAAAGTGCGTTGTTTAGACTTGGTATGCTTCTTCAATTTTTTCGTTCTTTGGCTGTTTGTTTTTGTTTTGTTTGATGCTCTTGTGATATTTTTTGTTCGTATGTTGCTTTGATTTTTGTTGATGTGTGTTTTTGAGTTTGGGTTCTTTGATGATTTAGAGTGTTGCTGTTTTGTTGGTATGCTTGTTTGAATTATTTAATGTTGCATGCTGTGATTAAATATTTTTGTTGCTGGTTGTGATTATTTATTTTGTTTGCTTGTTGTTCTGGATTTTGTTTTCTGTTTGTTGTGTTGCTGTTGGAAAAAAAATAGTAGAAAGAATAATTCTTTGAATTCTCCTTTTACTATTTTTCCCCCACCCCTACTTCCCCCAAGTCACTCCCCCAAAAGGCCATCGGCCAAGCGCAACTGTTGCGCCTCACGCTGGAACCATGGAAAACCCCGAAGCCCGGGTTGCACTCAACGCCCTCGGTAAAAACCTGCCTACGAGGCCTGTCTTTTTTTCTTTTTTTCGGAGCTGGCTCTTTCTTTGTGGCGGTTTGGAGAAAGGAAAAGAAGACCATCATCACCATGTTAGGGGGGGTATTTTTGTCGGAGCTGCTGGCTTGGAAAAGAAGGAAAAAAACGGAAAGCCGCCATGTTGGGGGTCCTGCAAAAAAAAAGCCCACCCTCTCTTGCCGGTGTTCCTCTTACCGAGCTTCCTTTTGGAGCTTTGGGAAGGCTTAGCGTGGAAGAGGATCTTTGTGCCCCGGACTAAAAACCATCTCTTGGTTGCGACGACCCCTCTGCAGAAAGGAAATAACTGTTTGTGGGCTCGAATCGGAAAGCCCACTGTTTCAGCCCAACAGTTAAAAAAATTGGGGCCTTCTCCTTCTCCCCCCCCCCATAAAGCGCTGGCGTCGAACAGACGCTGCACGCTATCGCAAAGGCAAGTTAAAAAGATCCAACCTAATGGCCATGGGTCAACATCCCGTGCCCTCAGTGAACATCCCAATCCCCACTAAAATAGACTAAAATGGGTGGTGCACCTACCCCAACATGGGATCCCGTTCGTTTGACCCACAGCCTACACAAAGCCCCTGGCTCCGTCTGGCCCCGTCACCCGGATCGGCACCTGCAGCCCAGCGATCTTGGCTTCCGCCTCTGCCAGGGATGTCCGCAGTCGCTGCGCCTGCGAGAAAATTGGCATCTCCTGCAACCCGCCCTGGGATTTGCAAACTACTACTACCACCACCACCACCACCACTGCTGCTGCTGCTGCTGCTGCTGCTGCTGCTGCTGCTGCTGCTGCTACTACTGCTACTGCTGCTACTACAAAGCGACGGGTTATTACCATGGTTAGTCAGCCCCGAAGGTCAACTCTTGATGTTTGGTAGAGCAAGCAAAGCTTGTTTCCAGGGACCGTCGCCATGCCTCAAGCGTTCACGCACGGACATGGATTGAGACATGGGGCCATTCAAATTCGAGACTTGTGAGACTTGAGGCACGTGCCTTGTGTCTCAAACTTGGGTAACCCTCCAAATGAGCGGCTTTCCTTTCAAACAAGCTCAAAAAGGTGTACCTTCAATGCAAGACATTCCCATGTGCCCTGTTTCATAGGAAGAAAATGCCTCCAAAAGCACACCTGGGCAATGATGGAGGCGAAAAGGCAAAGTGTGTCCCCCTGTTTTTGTGCGGTTCTTTATTCTTGTGAATTCACCATTTCCCGAACCCCACATTTACCGTACTGACCTCTCATCGGTAAGGGACCTTTTCGGGTTTTGATGACCTTTGCGTTCCTTGCAAAACCTTCCAAAATGGGCTCCCGAGTTCATGAGACGAGTCTGTGATATGCCATGTTGAGGCGAACCTCATGCGATGCGGGTGGGTCTCCCCCTTTGACTTATCTGGCGCAAAAATGGTGAACCCCAAAATCATGTCAAGAGTTACATCAAGCCAATTCATGTTGGAAGTTTTCCCTTTCTAACCTTCACTCAACCCTGGACAGGTTTTCATTTGGCCTTGGAGTCTTCGAACCAAACCAACCGACCCGTGTCGGCTCCCCGCCCGGCCTCCAGCTCCGCCTTGCGGGCGCGCTGCAGGGCCTCGGGCAGCTGCCGGCTCAGCGCCTGGACACGCGGGCCACGCGGGCCACGCGGGCCACGCGGGCCACGCGGGCCACGCGGGCCACGCGGAGGTTTGGGTGCGCGAGTCCAGCTGGGCGCACAAAAAAGCCGACCGGTCCATTGGGTAAGCTCCAAAACCATGGAGCTGCACATACGCGGCAAAACCGGGGATGTTGGAGGTCTGCCCGGATTTTGGAAGGCAAGATCTGGATAGCGAAGCATCTGGAAGATAGTTGCTGCTTTTGGGGCCCCCTCAAACAAAAGAAAGCGCCGCGCACTTAGTTGCACCGAGCGAGTCGCAGAGACAAAAAGAAACATTTGCGTCAAAACCGATCGGTCGGTTTTGCAACAAGGAAAAAGACATCCCACCGAGACGGCTGGAACTTGCATTCAAAAATTCCGGTTCAGCCCGTGGGGTCAGAACCGATCGGTCGGTTTTGATGGTCGGGACCCAGGCCTGTGGAAAGAGCTAGGAAGGCGTTTTTTGTTCGAAGATATTTGTGTGTGGTTGGGACTATCCCTCACTCCCCTTCGTCTACCCGAGGCGTGATTGCCTCACACCCCACCAAACAAGCCGAAACAAACCATCCTGGAACTGGATGCTAGAGCTGCCTCTTCTCCCTGGGAAAAGCATGTCACTAGCTTTGACCTTTCACCTTAAGCAACCTCTGAAATCGTTTTCGGAAATCATCGTTACGCTCAAGTCTTGCGCCCACAGATTAGGAAAGAGAGCAAGAAGGGCGTGCAGACCTGCGTCAGCGACCCAAGATGCGCATGTTCAGCACGTGGGCATTCCCAGTCCTAGAACCCCGAAAGCATTGCCTGCAGAACTTGCTACAGCCTGATATATGACAGGAACAGCAAGCGTCAAGCTGATTCAAGCGTCTTGAGTTAGGCAATGTGAGGCAACAAACTGATCAGGCATCACTCCGCGCACAAAGGGTCTGCAGCCACAAAAGCACCTGCACCAATACCCCAATACCTGCCAGCAACCGAAAACCTGCACTAATAGAAAATCCCCACGCAAGCAAAGACAACACAAAGATATCGACTTGCTTCTCAATACCCAAGTGTTTGACACAAAGAAAAAGTCTTCCTGGAACTCTGGTCCATGAAAACGTACTGTATACCATATGCATATTCACATATAGATTATATTGACAAACCGTAAATACCAACAACGTCTCTTGAAGCTTGGGTTTGAGGAGGCAGGGTACGACACATGCACATCTATGAGTTTGCGCACAAGAGGCCGCGAGGTTCTGACATCACGGGTGCGTGCGATGTGTGAATCCCACTAGCACGTCACGTTCGCGGCAGTACGATAGTGCTCTGCTGGATCGACTGCTAACCGTGAGTTCTGCCGGATGATATACATATATATATATATATATGGTACCCACAAAAAAGATAACACGCCCCAAGAGAGTTTGACAGCATTTGCAGTACTTTTGCTCGATCTCCACCCGCTTTTCGGGCACTCCAATTTTGAGCATTCAACTCTGCACGCATCCGACGTTTGACTGTGCCTGTGTTCACCTAAAACGCAGAAAGCTTCGAGGACGGGCCGAGAACCGGGCCTGCGGGGAGGGCTTTTGGGGGGGCCCTATTTTTTGGGTCAAAAGCCAAATCGGCTAGCCCCCAGTGAATCAACCCCCACTAAAATAGGTTCTAAAACGGGTGGTGAATTCACCTACCAACCAAAATAGGATCCCATCGGCTTGGACCCACAGCCATATGTGGCTGTGGCTCAAAAACCGGTACCAACATGGAACCCTGGTAAGTGGAAACATGGACCAGAAGCCTGCGGTTTGCCCCTCCTGTTTCATTTTGACCCACAGCCATACTGTGGATGGACGAATTCCATTTCGCACCACGTGAGAACCATGAAAAAAGCCACCGCTTGTTGGTATTGACCAGCGGAATCGAATCCTTCCAGGCTTTCATAGGTGGTGCCTAAGAGGATTTCGTCCATCCACAGTAACCCCCAGAGATCAAGCCGCGGAGAATTTTTCTCACCCCGCCTGGGAGGCTTCCGCGGCCTTCCGCAGCAGCTCCGCGGCGGCGGCGGCCTGACCGGCGGGGGTTTCTACGGACCCATTTGGCTTTGAGGAAAGCAAAGGGAAACCAACCGAAAAAGAAACAACCGAAAGCAAAGCTGACGTTCAGACCCCCTTCGAAAAAAGACAGGAGAAATTGCAACCACTGAAGTGATGGGACTGGATCAGCCTTTTCCATGACGAATTAACGTGGAACCAATTTCCCAAAACTCACAACCTGAGTCGTACTGCTGGTCACACCCGACTCCACATGCGTTTCTAAGGTTCCTATATGGCTGTGGGTCAAATAGGTACCCCAAATGGAACCCTAGTAAGTGGAAACATGGACTCAATTTTGACCCATACCCAATGTATAGATCCATATTTTTTGCGCGCGAGCTGAGGCACCTCCTTCTCTGCCTCATCTTCTGGAAGAGTCAGCATATCCTGGCCAAGCATCCCTTGCAGTGGGGCAACAAGGAGTTTCACGAAGATGGCTTGCAACCGGCTGGACATGGACCATTCCTCTCTGCACTTCCATGAAACCCAGGCAGAGCCGAGTGCATCTAGCCTGTGGTTTTTTCTGTGGCATTCGTTCCTCCAGCAAGCAGTACCCTGCACATCAAAGCATGAGATCGGGAAAGTCAGCAGTCAAGTGAAGATCTGCCTTTCTCAATAGACAATAGACAAGGCCAGTTCAAACCCGTGTCTCTGTCCTCCAAAGACGGCAGCGACGGTTGGTTTGACGCCTGCGCAAGTTATCAGTTGAGTGCCTCGCAACCACAATGCTGACCCCACACGACACACTGTCGAGACAAGCAGTAAACCCGAACGAAGAGTGGATATATAGAGAGTGGATAGCAAGGACCACACCATACGTTGCCTGTTCTGCACTGTGGCGCTGAATCCTGGTCGCTCCTTGGCTACAGTCCTTTTAAGACGGCTTTGCAGAACAGCAGTTTGCCGTATGAAATGAAGGTGTAGTTGAAACAAAGAATGGTTGTATGGATCTGTCTGTCCTTTGCTTCCACATTGTGAGTTCTTATCTCGTACTGATGAACCCTGAGTACAGCCATCTGTTCAATCAATTGCTTTTGGAGTCATGTGTTTTCTTCATATTCAAGTCACGGGCCGGGTTCTCCTGGTTCTTGGATATCATCCCCCAGGGGGAGGTCGCGTCGCTAGCATCAAGACAGCTAAAGAAATGGTTTGAGTGTTCAAAACGTCATGCTGACAGAAGCAACATGTGTACACGCCATACCACAACGCAGATGAAGAAGACTACGCACTTGGCAGAAATCAGTCGACCCCGGCAACTTCCAACTTCCTTTCCTCGGCAAAAGACAGGCAAACAAACAAACAAACATGCACTAAGAATTGCGGCGCAAATCACAGTCCAAGGGCAACTGTCCAGTCCGTACTCCGACCCTTGATCAAGCTGCGGACCATGTGGGATGGTCCAACCATCAGACCTGTTCCAGGATCCGATGGTCATGTTGGGCGTGTGCTCATGTTCGAGAACAAAGCACAAAAAGGTCAACCTTTCCATGCAAAAGCCCGCCACATCCCCACCAAAAAAATGAGAGAAAACAAGAGGGAAAAAAAAGGAGAAACAAAAACGGCAACAAAAAAAAAGAGAGAAGAAAAAAAAACGCAAGGCGAAAAGGAAGACGCGTTTCTTTCTTCTTGTCTGCTTGGATCCGGATCGATCGCATCCGAGCAACGCAAGGCACCCCAGCCTGGCCGGCGCCTAGCAAGGAACTCCCCTTCGCGGGTCCGACGTGGCTCGTTTTGGAGTCGAAACTGGGAGCCCGCCCGCCCCCCCCCCATTTTCCCCCCGCAGCTGTGTGTCCGACCCCAAGGAGCGTCCTCCTTGCAATTTTGGGGAGAAAGGATATTCCCACAAAAATGGTGTTTTGGGCTGAAGGGGGTGTCTAGTCACCACTAAAATCAAAACCGAGTGGACAGCTGGGCATGGGGAAAATCAGCGGCTGGCACCCGGATGAGTCAGAATCACAATTGCCGCCCGCGAGATGGATCCTTGCGAAAGGGGCGAAAGGGGCACTGGGGGTTCCGAAACCCTCTCTTTTGAAGACCTCAGTCAAAACCGCTCCGTATCAAAATGGGCGATTTTTTCAGAACCGGGCAAAGAAATGAGGCGGCGAAAGCACGTGCGTTCTCCTTGCTAGTTTTCATCCACGCAGGTTTTGATGGCTCAAATGACCCAAGTAGCTGTCTCTTTTTTGGGACCACCCCCCAAAGCTTCCCTCTGCAACCACCTAAAAGTGTCGAAGAAAGACAAGTGGTGGAAAAAGGGCGAACCTCAAAAAAGTAGTTTGAGGTCCAAAGGACCTTGAAGGAATATTCAAAGACAAGCCGGGGCTTGGACCAAATGCTTGGCATGTTGTCCAAAGTGGGGGGCCCGGGATTTGAAAGCCACCCATCTATTCCGAAATTGGTGTGATTTCTCTGTGGTTTAGTGCGGGAAATTCGTGGCGCGCTGCGCGCGTACGACCTCTGCGATGCTCGATGCGTGCTGCGAGTGCGATGTGGGCTTTGCAGGTAAAGCTCTATCGATGCAGCGAAAAACAGAGATATGCAGTGCAGTGTATTAGACAGGGATCCTTACATGAAAAACACCTGAACATTGCAACTTGTAAATGGTGGTGTCCAACTTTATTTTGGTGTTGAAAAGGCCATGTTTCAAATGGTTGCAACATGTATCTTTTAAGGAGCCCTGTTAGAGATGGACATAAACCGCTCACATTTCTCACCGGCCGCGAACTGAGAATCGAACCGTCTCCAGCGCAAAAGTGCAGGGGTCACTCTGGATGGCATGGCCGTGGGATGGCCCCTGGAAAAAGAAAAATGGCCTTCGATCAGATTCCCTCCAATTGGTGGTTTAGTTGCTAAGAAGGGGTTTTCCAGTACCCTCTACAAAGGGCGGGATGATTTGGTTGCAAAAAGCATGGCTGAACTGATTGCCACTCACAGTTTGGTTGGGCGGCTTTAGCACGGTGGGAGGCTCGCTGTCCTGTCTGGTAATGTTGCCCCCATATGAATCAACTCCAGTTTGTTCATAGGGGGGGTGTCTTTCTGGGTCAGTGGGGAATCAATCATCACTTTTCGAGGGGAACATCCCGCACCCCCAAAAAATAAACTAGGTTTGATCAATATGGGGTCAATGCTGGCCACTTGAAACCGCGCGTACAAAAAACAAAGTAGGTGCTGTCAATACAAGTTTCTGGCCTTCTCCTTCGTCCACTTCCAGCATGTCACCAATCCGCCTCACAATTGCTCTGGAGCAATCCGCCAAGCGCCACGCAATGCCAAGCCACACCCCACATTCATAAGAGCTGCGCTTTAAGAAGTTCATGGCTCGCAAATGGCCGGCGCAGCACGAAATCAAATGAGCTGCATGAATCTCAGGAAGGGCCGCATTGCATCTGCCGCGTTGTCGGATTGTCCTGATTGCTTGCCATTGGCCACAGTCTTGTTTGCAGCTGCTTGTGGAACTTGTACAGCCCGAGTTTGATGACATGTCGTGCATGCGATGCACTTGTTATTTGCTCGCTGCAGCAACGAATGTATTGGAACATGTCCGATTCATGCAATGCATGTTCGAGTGCTCCATGAATTTTGTTTGCAGTGACTACAAAATCGATGTTGCATTCTTCTACAACACAATCTCGGACTGCGAACGTGTAACAATCCGTGCATCTGAGAGAGATGAAGCATGCGACACATGCAGCGAAGATTCCGTTTGCTTCCGTTGCATGGAACTACAAGGCCCAAGGTTATCTGATGTTGTCCGATTTTGTAGCAGAGTTATGTTAGCCCCGGATTTTCTTCCCCCACGGCCTACGCATGACTGTCCATGATAGTGTCCAATGGATTTGTTGCTGCCATTTTTGCAGACACGCGTGTCACAGGAACATGTTGCAAACATAGTTTCGTTGACGTGGAACCTGCTAGTAGCAGCATGCAACCCAACCGCGAAAGCAGTTTCCAGCTGCCTCAAGACTCACCGATTTCTCTGAAAAGCAGACCCCGGCATGCTCCCAGGTGTCCTGTATGAGCAAAGGTACGACATTGCAAACCCCACCATGGGGGCCGTTTACTGACGCCCACTTGCTACAAGGCGCGGCAATGGGCAAAAATCATCAAAACTCAAGCGCGCGTTGCAACGGCCACGCCCCGCAATACACACGCACTTTAAACTCCTGAGTGAGAAAGCCAAACGCATCCAGTAAGCAAACAAGTGGGAGCCATGCGATTTCAAGTCGGCGCGGCTTGGGATGAGACGAAAACAACAGGACAAAGCATCATCTGCAGGTGCATCCAACTGATCAGGCTGGATATCAAGAGTTAACAGCGGGCATCTTCGTTGGTGCAGGTTTTGCCGAAACTAGAGTTATTTTGCGGAGCGCTTCGAATTGCCAAAAAGGTTGCAATCATTGTTGGTCCGGAGCGGAATGTGCCCTCTGAGTCGAAGGGTACTTACCTTGTCTTTGCAAACACAAAAAGTAGCAATGAACCTAAGAGCACCAGGAAAGGCTCCGCAACATCGAAGACAAACCACCAAACCTGGCCTTTGTCCAGGTTGAAACAGGCACACCCACCCATTTAGGGCCGCCATCCCCCAGCGCAATCATGACCAAAGCCGCCGAAGAGCAGCAGAGCCGTCAGCTACCATCTTCGCAGCTCAATTTGGTGCAGGTGTGGACGAAAAAATGTCCGCAGTTGACTCTAACACCCCTTCCATTTCTTTTGAGGACAAAGTCATGAACATGGCAATTCACTGCTACACATTGACGGCTCCAAACCGGATTGCTGGCACAAGACTTTGTGTTAAGGCTTGATGCACTGCTCCTAGCTTCTACTCACAAACCCCAACAAAGTCGAACGACAAGGACACACGCCTTTTTGCTCGGGTTGCTTGGAAGGTCGCACAGCGACCGGGGCACGCGGTGCACCTGGTCACAAGGGGCGAGGTCTTCCCCCCCCCCCCCGGGACACTGAAAGGCAAGACAGGCGTGTCCTTGAACGCGCAAACACAAGGTGTGGCATGCGTGCCACACCGAAATCACAGCGGGTCCTGTGAAGTGGCCAGGGCTGGACCCGAGACCGCGGGTCGCGGCTGGAAGTCCTGGAAGTGCAGAACCACAAACTTCCAGATCTTCGGGGGCAAGCCCTACCCCTTCATGCTGGTGGCCATCGATGCGCTGACCAAAAAAGTGGGCGCCGAGCCGCCGAAGGACCGTCTTGCGACCACCACCGCGGCGGGCATGAAGAAGGTGTTCCAAACCCTGGGGGTGCCGGCCAACGCCTACTTTGCGGAGCGCACCATCCGCACCATCAAGGAGGCCATGTTGCGTCGCATAGCGGCCGGAGCGGGCCGGCGGGGGCAGTAACACCTCATGCTGCCCGACGTCTTGAACCAAATCAACGGAAGGAAGCACGCTACCACGCAGGTGGCGCCGAACCTCGCCTACTCCGACCCCGAAATGGCCGAGATAGCTCGCAGGGCCAAACACAAGGTGACCCGCCCGGAAATCAAGGTCGGGGATATGGTTAGGAGGGGCTCCTACAGGGTCAACGAGATAGCCTGGAGCGAAAAGGTATACAGGGTAGCCTCCATCGAGGGCGGGGAGATGGGGGCGAGGTTTGGGTTGGAGGGGTGGCCGGAAAAGGTGGTGCACAGGGATCTCCGAAAAGTCCCCGAAAACGCAGCTCCAGCTGGTCGGAGATCACGCTCCAATATTCGAACAGCCTGTGCCACTCCTCATCAGCCTCAAGCCAGCGCAGGGCAAGCTCTGCCCACTGGGCGCGCGTGGCCGGGGCGCCGAGACCCGCAGCAGAAATGTCGTCCATCTCTTTGGAGACTTCCGCCACGATCTCAAGCCCTTCGAGCCTCTCCTCGAGGAGTTCGACTGCCGCCTCCGCGCCGTGCGTTGCAGGGAGGCCGCTGGGCCATCAGAGCGGCTGCGAGGCTAGGAGCGTCTTTCTCCACCCACGCAGCGGGCTTTTCCAGAAGCCATGCCTGCTGCACGCAGCGGAAGGCCCTAGAGGACGTCATCATTGCTTAAAGTGGCTGCGCGGGGTTTTTTAGACAAAAAGCACCAGTCGAGCGCGCGGACTTTGAGGCCGACATTTAAAGCCGCGAGATCTGGCGCTCATGCTTGAGCCATCTCAAGGCCATCTCGCCCCGCCGCTCGCGCTCGCCGAAGCTGGAGATGATCCTCCAAGCAGCGTTGCGCCGATTGCGTTGCCCATCATACCTGTTCACAATTTCCCCCGATAGCGCCAGCTGCCAGCGGAGAAGTCTGTTGCTGCGCTCCTGCTCCACGCAGCGCATAGTTTCACTGGTTATCTCCTCCTTGAGGAACTCGATGCGACGCCGCTGGCGCAGGCGCTCGGCCTCGAGCGCATCCTCGCGAGGCCGCTTGCGCAGCACGTCGTCGGCAGGCCGCTGCACCATCAGAGCGGTTGCAAGTCGGGCGAGAAGTGCCTGGATGAGCTGGGACGTTCGTGGACAGCATGAACGTCGACCTCAGAGCCTGCACCCACAAGCAGCTGCCCGAGCTCTTCCCGCTGATGGCCTCGCTTCACCCCGAGCTGCAGCAGAGCACGCCGACCAACTCTCCGCCTCAAAGACGACCTCAAACAGCGGCGGACCCACTACGATCTGGAGCAGGCGTTGGACTGCATCCTGCGCAAGCTGCCCATCACTTCTGCAGCGCGGACGCGTGGGAGTGAGCGAGGAGGACTACCGGCTGGCAGTCAACACCGCCAGCGTCATGGGCTGGGAGACCTTCTGGGAGTTCCACGACTGCTACCTCCACACCGACGTCCTGGCCTGGCGGACGTGATGGAGCTCCTTCCGGGCGCAGTCGGGGCTTGACCCGATCGACTCCCATTCACCTCATCACCGACAAGCAGGCCTAAACCTCATCACCGACAAGCAGGCCTACACAGACGTGCGGGCCTCTGTCATGGGAGGGCTGAGCTGCATCTTCCAGCCGTTCGCTCAAGCCAACAACCGTCAGCTGGATCTCGTACTTGGACTTCAACGCCATGTACCCAGCCGAAATGACGCTGCCCCTTCAACGACAAGGTCTACGGCCTCGACGCTCGCAACTCGCGCCCGCTCGCAACCTGGAGCAGCTGCGGCTCCTGGCCGCTTACGCTCCGCCCGGCTCCGCGCCCTTCGACCTTGTGATGGAGTTCCTTGTGGGGCCCCCGCCTCTGGGGCCCGCTCTGACACTGCCGCTGCGGCTGAGCCGATGCTGGGCGTAGACAGTCGGAAGCGAAAAAAAGACCTTCGCTCCCGAGCTCTCGTTTTCTGGCTTTCTCGCTCTTGTTTTCTCGCTTTCTCGCTCATTCGATGATATTTATTCGATCCGCCGCAGCTGCTCAAAATGACTTCCGTCCGACGCGTGCAGGATGGCTTCTGGAAAAGCCCGCTGCGTGGGTGGGCGAGAACGCTCCTAGTCTCGCAGCCGCTCTGATGGCCCAGCGGCCTCCCGACGACGCGCTGCGCAAGCGGCCTCGCGAAGATGCGCTGCTCGAGGCCGAGCGCTCGCACCAGCGCCGCCGCATCGAGCTCCTGGAGGAGGAGATCATGCGCCGCGTGGAGTAGGAGCGCAAGGACAGATTTCTTTGCCTTCTGGCGGAGGAGCGCGTTGATATGCTTGAGGAGGATTTGGAGCGGGCCTGGCGAATGATTCCGCGCTAAAGAAAAGTCCTCCCAAGCGCATGCTCGAATGGTGCTTTTTCCAAAAAAACCCGCGCAGCCTCTTTAAGCGATAATGACTTCCTCGATGGCCTTCCGATGCGTGCAGGCATGGCTTCTGGAAAAGCCCGCGGCGTGGGTGGGCGAGGACGCTCCCAGCCTCGCAGAGCCAAATCAACGGAAGGAAGCACGCTACCACGCAGGTGGCGCCGAACCTCGCCTACTCTGACCCCGAAATGGCTGAGATTGCTCTGCGCAACATCGAGCGCAGAAAGCAGGGGCTCCTACAGGGTCAACGAGATAGCCTGGAGCGAAAAGGTATACAGGGTGGCCTCCGCCAAGAACGGGGAGATGGGGGCGAGGTTTGGCTTGGAGGGGTGGCCGGAAAAGGTGGTGCATAGGGATCTCCGAAAAGTCCCCGAAAACTCAGCCGCGGCTGGAGGTGCAGTCCCGCCAGCGGAGGCTACAGAGAGGCCCCAGGCTCCCACCTCCCTTTTGATGTTCTCTGTGCCTCTACGTCTCTACTTGTCCGACAGCTGCGCCCGCCACTCACTGACAAGCCTCTCCGTGCTGGATCGGGGTGGGGGGCTTGGCGAGCCCCCGTGATCTCTGACGTCCCAATATTCCCACCGCCCGTGCCACGCCCGATCACTCTCAAACCAGCGCAGGGCAAGCTCTGCCCGCTGGGCGCGCGTG